CTTTGTAAATGTAGTGTGATGCATGCATAATGAGGCACATAACTCACTCTAATGCAAGATAAGAAGTCACACACAGACAGGTATTTCAGCATGTATGACAAATGAATCAGCCCATTCTAAGTGCTCTCTGGCAATGCTGATCATATCCATGCTGCTCAACGAAATAAAATCAGGCTTCAACCTGACACCGTTTGATTAAAATAGCCACCAGCTCAATACTACTTATCCAACATCTAAATAAAATAATCATGGATGACAAATAATTGCCCCATTTCTTTACACGCTGGACGGCAGATTTTGGCAGACGGCCTCATTCGAGGGACCTGACAGATGGCTCGTGGACTTCTGCTGGCCTAATTACTGATCAGGCCGCCATGGGATCTTTAACTCCTACGAGGAAGTAGATCCCTTGGGATTAAGGAAATCATTACTTTAATTTCCCTCCAGGTTTACATCAATTATTCTCAACTATGACGCATTCTCACAAAAATAGGCAGCAGCTGGATGGAGAGAAAGCCGGGCACGACGCGAATGGATGGTACCACAGTGACCCATCGTGTTCATGGGGGGGGGGGGTGTCAGACGTTTTAGAAAAGCTGGGCATACCAAGAAAAGATACATGTGGAATTCAGATTAACCTGGTGACGTCCACTCTTATGGTGTTCCTGAGACGTCCACACGGACCAAACACACACACACACACACACAAACACGCTGCTGCGGAACATCAGGGTGAAATAATCGCCATGTAAACGAGGCAGCGACAGTTTTGCTTTGTTACATAAGAGTTTCTCTCTCATCCAAGGAAGTCACTCGAATGGGAATCTGCAGCTCTGCTTTCCTGGGGCCAAAACAGACACTTCTGATGTTTTTGCCAGTGACCTTTGAACCCTTCAGGAACCTGGGGTATCAGGTTCTCAGTCCAACTGAAGAACTTCTTGGAAGCAAAAAATTTCTAAAAAGACACCATACTGTAACGAATCCACATGCTCTGTTCCCATGCCCAGATTTCCAGCATATTTTTGGTTTTTCCAGAAAATAAGTATCCTCTGCATCTGATATAAGCAGTCAAAAGAAGTTGTTCCATGAGAGACTTTTTAGGAGGCTTAAGGCATGATAAACATTATTATTTTCCTTTTTCTACTGTTATTTAAAAGTGTAAATTAAAAAAAAAAACACATGTGGTCATGAAAGATAATTTAGAGCAGTCTAATTTCATAAGCAAAGTGATTCCTTCATGCTGCACAAACCCTGAAAAAGTCACAGCGTTACTCCTGCATAGATCGTGGGGTCTGGGCTACCGGCATATGACCCAAAACCAAGGAGGTCATGTTTTCACATCCAGAATACAAAAACCGAACAAATCTGAAGGAGGGACCCAAGATTTTCAGGGGGGCACGGAGACCTAAGTAATATGGACCAAAAAAGACAGATTGCGATATTTTTAGCCAGATTAGCGATACCCGTCAGCATTTTCTATTAAGTGGGCCAAGTGTTTCATTTTCAGTCAAAGCCACATGTGACGTCAGGAACACTTTCATTAAAACAGTGTGGTCAAAACGGGATGCAAAACGGAATCCTTCCCTATTTGCAAATAAATATACAACTATTCAGTATAGATTCTTAGCTGCAGATTCCGGGAGTCTATGAGACGGCACGACCAAAACACACACATTCGTTTCTATTAAAAATCTTTAAGTGAACTCTAATTTTAACGCACAATTATAGTACATATACTTAAAGCGTATTGTATCAACCTATATCATTTTGAAGATATCTCGATATACCGTAAAAATTCAATATAGCGCCCAGCCCAAGGCTAGAGTAAAAGTTGTTGACTGGGGGAGCGAAGCGCTGGGTAATCTTATGACCCGCAGCCCCGCCCCTTGGGGGAATTGGTAGCTTATCTGTTGTAGCATTCTGTCGAAGACTGAAGTGGCTGTGGTATTATAGATTTAAAAAGTTATCGTCTTATTTGCAGAGGATCTTTACAGGCCGATGACCATGTGCACTATTTAAAAGTACCTTCATCCTTACGATGCTAGTGGCCGCTCGCATATTCGCATCAGACTTCGACCACAAACATATTCAGAGGACATTTAATTAAAACATCAACAGCCATAATGCACAACATACATTTGTATTTACTTACAAAATACATTTTATTTAAATACACCGACTCACCTTGGTGTTCCGACCTATTTTAACCAAAAGCCTGAAACATATCTCATAAAATTTTACAGCGGACTTCAATACGTGTCAATATCTTTTTCTACATTTGTATAAACAAATTAACTTTATCACGAGGAGAACCTACTTTAAAGTTACTTTGATACCCTGAGATCATCGTGAAAAACCACCAACGTTAAACGCCTAAAGTGTGATTTGTAAGGATAGTTTTCGCGTGTGCAGGAGTACCACCGAACTCCGCGATTATAATATGTAATATAATTGTAGGTGACAACATAGCGGGCTCTCTCTGTTCATTTAAATTACGTTTAAGTACTCTTCGTGTCTACTATGATATGCTATTTCAAGGGAATAAACAAATTAGTTAGGAAGAGTCCTCAGACGCGTGGCCCAAACCTATTGAAGTCGCAGGTCTTTTTAAAAACACAAACCCCATTAAAAACACCGAGACCCAGCTACTGCAGACGTCTGGACACATCGGAGACATCTCAGCAAAACAGGCGCCGTGCCCCGTTTGTTCTAAAACAAACTCAACTTCTGAAAGATAACTTCCTGTGACAAAACCTGCAAGAAAAACTGGAAATACAGGTATGTCCCCGATGATACGGTTTCCGTCCGCTTACACTTAACCCCCCTGTCCGTTTCATTCATTCCCGTTCACGGATCAGCGTCCGCTGACCACTGACCTTATAATAAAGTTATTATGGGTCGCCCGGTCCGCCGCCCGGTGCGCCACTTACCTTGGGCAGGTCGCGCAGCTGGTTCGCGTCCAGAAGCAGCTCCTCCAAGCTGCGGCTGTAGCGGTAGATCTCATCCGGGACGTAAAGCAGAGAACAGTGCCGCTTATCGACCGACTCAACGTGACGGTTACACCGCCACAGGGGGATACAATGAAACATCACGGGCTTCAGGCAACTCGTTACTTAAGCGGAGAAATGCGATAAGTCAAATTAAAAGTCCTTCCGCAAGGATCCACTTCCTCGCCTTAAGTCCGGCTGTTCCTGCGAGTATCAGCAACAGGCAGACATCGAAAGCAACTCCTCGGAGTAACATGGGATAAAATCTCTGGTCCTCTTCCAGCTCACTTTCAGCGCTCTTTTCCTATTTTCTCCGTCCGTTCTCACCCGTAGTTTTATCCCTTTTGCTTCGACACACAAAAACAATCCTGCCGATTTACGTGAGAGTCTTTTCACTCTTTTTGACGATCACATTTTCTTTTTGTTTTCTAGTGTCGTGTTTTCCTCGTCCGAGAGTTAATTTCCTCTCACTCCAGTTTCTGACCCGGAACATTCACTCCCTCATTCCAGCCTGACGTCACTGCTCCTCCCTTCCTCTTACTCCTCCTCTTCTCCCGCCTGTCCCGGGATGGTTATGGACGGACCTCGGGCGCCATCCCCGGGCCGTGAAGTACCGCCCGGCATAATTTTCAGAGGGGACGAAATTAATGTCACACCAGCACATTTTTGCTATTTTTGACTCCACCATCCCTAAAACAACATTAGGTCCGGCTCTACAAAAATAGTCTGCCTAAAACATAAATTAATATGACAAGCTATGAACCTATATTTGGCACCTCAGCTAATTAATCCCCCACCCCCCCATAGTTATTTTTATGCATAGGACTACACTCCTTTTGTATTTTTTCCCAAAATTTAAAACACAAAGGACACCTATTTGTACTCAGGAATATCACACGAGGTGACCACAGATTAAATGTTTCTTCCATCAATGCAGTAGTTATGCGACATAAAGCCAAATGCTCAGTACCTGTAAATCTACGATTTGTATGAGTAGCGGTTTGCTCTCATGGGAGGGATGAGGTGTGGAGACCTGAATCAGCGCAGCGGCAATGTTTGTGCATCATGGAAATACTGCCAGGTTTAAGCTTATCCATCCAAATTGGTGGTCAGCTTGCGGCTAATCACACGTAGTATGTTGGTAAAGCCAGGGGACACTCTGTCCAGGGTCTCAGATCTCAAACTCACACACAGTCCATGTATTGCCAGCATTGTGGGGACTCTCCATTTCTATGGACATCACTCTGCCCTACCCTGACCTATAAGTAACAAAAAAAGACTATTTTAAAAAGGTTATTTTCGTTTTTTTTTTTTATTCCATCCACATGCTATGTAGTGACAGTCACAGACTCAATGTCAATTGTCCTCATGCACGGGAGAGGTCAACGTGCGACTTGGAACAGGGACATTGGCAAAGGCGTAATCAGCAGCTCGACATGTGAACAGACACGCGATGCCCTGAAGCCACTGGAGAAAATGTCCTTTCCCACTAATGGAGGACAGTAGCTTGTTAAATTGCACTTGGCAGCCTTATAAGCCTATAATCTGGGATGCCTGGATTCGATTAAGCCTGACTCATTATCGGCAAGCATTTCAATTCCTTTTCGTTTTACACAAATGGTCGTTAGCCATGCAAACACCATTCAATAAGACATTCCTTTTAATTTTGTCATTAAAATTCAGGCCAGGAAAGGGTGGGGGGTACACCCCCCATGAAAGGTTTATAAAAATATTAACCCCTTTTAAAACAAAATTACACAAGGCAACATCATGTTCGGTGCGTCCACAGTCAGTGTTCAGCAGCCCGACGTAGCACCTTCGCCCCGCTTCGGATCTGCTACTTCGTATCATTTCCAAATTCCATGCATTGCATAATTTCCAAAGTCTTCTCCCAAATGACCATGCAGTTCGAAAAACCACAGCATTACTGTGCAAACTGGACCAAACTGAGGAAAACCTGTCTCAAAATGTCCTAAAATCCACAAAACAGAGTAGGGGGAAGCACACGCAGAGTTCGCTTCCAGATCTTTATTTTCAAACATGGTTACATTTCTACATACTGTGTTACATTGTTATTTAAACGAAACTAAACTCTTAGATTAGAAACGAATCAGGCTGAATTCTTAACATTCCATACTTAACATTTCTGCACTACGACTATTTACCCTCAAACACACTTGCAGTATGTTTCAGGACTTTGCGTTTTTGGTTATGAGGGAATGCGATGGTTTCAAGCACCAGAAATTTTTAAATACTTGAGAACCTCATTTTACCAAATTAAAATTAAAAAAATGTTGAAATAAATGTGTCTTTATTTGCACTGCATTCTACATAATTCTACATGTAGAACACACCAGTAACTATGCACCCTCCCTAACCAGGTATATTAGCCGGTCATTTATACTCTGTAGCCACTAGGGGGCGGTCGTGTTTTAAATCCAACTGATATAGAGATAGTTTACGGTACCAGTAAGTGCACTCAAACATTCCATAAGTAGAAACATGTACCTGCAGTTTAGAGCCCATGAATAAAAGATACTGAGAACAGGCCAAATTGTACTGTAGTACTTTTAAACTTGATTTATTTTATGACTGAAACCACCAAACAAAAGGAAAAAAGTGTGTATGGGGGACCATACTTCTGAATGTGTGTGTTGGAGGCTTCAAGATACTTAAGATGTTCAAGCATGCCATCTCCACGGGGCGATCATCTGCGACAGAGCTGTTTCTTGAAGGCTTTCAGGGACTTGGCCATCATAGGTGCAACCCCTAGGCGGGGAATTAAAGCAGGAATAATTATATAACCACATCCCAGCACCTGTTACAGTTAGGAAAAAGCACATTGAGGCACCACACACACACACACACACACACACACACACACACACACAGTCCTATACTGGGTGCTCTCGCTCAGGCTTGGCAGACTGGCCGCTGCAGCAGAGTCACATCTCTCTTGGCACCGCTCAGCACAGCCCAGTAGAGAAAACTGGGACTGGCACCAGGGACGGAGACCCTACACCACCAGCCATGACCACAGGTGTCAGTGGCAGCCTGTAACCTCTCTCACCACTTCCAGTTTTACTTAACCAACCCGATAACCATCTTGGCTCATTTGGAACAGATTCCAAGTATCCGACTGAACCCTAGAAGAGGAACATTAGAATTGAAATAACCAGACCTCAGATGTTATCAGGCAGATCTGACATCAACACTGGCCCCGACTGAAAGCTGACCGGCTCTCAGGGTCCAGCCATCCCAGTTACTCACCAATTCAAAACATCACCAGCCAATGATACACCTGGCCCTCTGTATGAATTATGGCTCCTCATCCCAACCCGCTTTAAAAATCCTAGAATCACCCCAGAAGCCCAAATACCAGGGAAGTGGCAGGGAGCCAGAGAGCTGGACTCTGAGGCCTGCAAATCGCACTGGGGAGTAGAGCCATGCTGGCAAAATGCAAATTTAGCCAGGCCAGCAGGGGGCAGCATGTAGCCTGTGCACTAAATGAGCTCCCCCCTCCTCTAACCCGTCACTCCAAAGGCCACATATAGCTAGACATTAAATACCACTGGATAATTAATATAGCAGGTTTATCCTGGAGGACAGAAAAACCAACAGTATTCTGCTCACAGCAGTTTGCACTGAAGGCAGGAATGAAGTGAGGGGGAGATGCTGGGTACCAGTGAGGACTCACGTTTGATTTTCCTGGGATCCTGACTTTGGCTGGACCCAGGACCAGGGCCGGCGCTGGAGGACCTGCTGGAGTCACCAAAGCTGGGCCTGATGCTGCTGAGTGCAGAGTGTTACGGAGCAGAGTATCAGTGCCTGTAATCAGCCTAGTGAGCCAATCAGGATGTGCAGAGTGTTACGGAGCAGAGTATCAGTGCCTGTAATCAGCCTAGTGAGCCAATCAGGATGT